GCATCCCCAACAGGGGTACTTGTATGGTATCAAACCCAGGAGTAGCCTCTCTGACTGACGGGAGTGGTGAAGGTGACTGTGATTCAGGCTGTAGGTGTTCTGTCCAGTGATGGGTGTAAGATGTGTGGGGCCCTTCTTTATTTCTGGACATTTCCAGGAGGGGTTCTGCAGGGTTGGGTGTTAGACATGAAACATGTCTCCAGCATTTGGTCATTAGGAGACACCTGTTGGGGGAGGGAAATTCTGAGGGTGACAAAATGATATTAGAGAAAGCGACAGTCAACATTGCCCACCCTAGGTACACCTGGTCTCCTATTTTGCTCAAGGCTGGCACTCTGTTTCTTGAGTCACACCTCTACTTCCAACTTTTTGATGGTCAATTAGACATAAGAGTCTTATGGACTTTTCTGCCTGGGCTGGCATCTACATGTGATCTTCAAATTTTAGACCACTGTGTAGCTAGGATTACAGGCATGAGCCATCAGCACCCAGCTGTCATATTTGTCTTTGGGTCTTGAACTCAGGGTCTAGGTGCTATTCCTTAGCTTTTTTGCTCAAGATTGACACTCTGCCTCTTGAACCATGCCTTCACTTCTGGCTTTTTGGTGATTAATTGGAGATGAAAGTCTCATGGACTTACCTGCTGGGGCTGACTTTGAATCTGGATCATCAGATTTCAGCCTTCTGAGCAGCTAAGATTACAAGTGTGAACCACTGGTGCCTGGCTCTCTTTAAAAAACAATTTTTTGAAAACAATTTTAAATATGGTCTTACTATGTAGCAGAGGCTGGACTTGAACTTAAGATCTTCCTGCTTCAGCCTCCAAGCCCTTATTTATCCATATTTGGTGACCTGCCATGAAAAAAAGGAAGGAAGGAATGAAGGAATGAGTGAAGGAAGGAAGGAAGGAAGGAAAGAAGGAAGAATGAAAGAAAGAAAACCTAACCTGTTTCCTCTCATCTGCTACCTCCCTCCTTCCAATTTGGCTTCTTGGACCTATCTAGTTGTATTGGTACTGGCCCAGGCCAGCAGGGGGAGACCATGGCGCCTGGGCCAGGAAAGTGGTGGTGAAGGCAGTGGGGTTTCTAAATGGGGTGAAGGAAACTCATGCTCTGGCTGGCCTAATTTCTTGAAGCTGCTGTAGAGCTTGGCCTGCTTGGGGACATAGGAAAGCCTGGCACAGACACTGGGCAGGAAGCCCCAGGCTCCCACCCCCATTTTGCCATGGGAGCCGGAGCAACAAGGCAAGTGTATTGCCCTGGGCCTCCCTCTGCACCCCTTCTCCCCCCCCACCCCGCCTGCCTGAGCCAGTACTTCTTTCTTTTCTCCTTTATCTGGGCAAAAAGTACAGGGTGTCCTGTTTCTCTTGTGCATACAGATCAAGGAGGGATGGTTATTTATTTATTTATTTCCCCAAGGCAAGAAAAGGACTGTCAGACACTGAGGACTATTTAAAAGATTCTTAATAAGGCAGTTTCTCATAAAAAAATAAACAACAACCCTCTCAAACAACAGTAACAACAAAAGCCAAAAAGGAAAAAGATGGCACAGACTAGCCCCCTTGTTGGAAATAACAGAGCGCCCCAAGTTCCCCAGGCAGGTGGTCCTGGCTATTTCTTCTCTCTCTTTTCTGTTGTACCCCAGGTTGTATGAACTGGATTGATAAGGGGGCAATTGGGATAACCCCTCTCTACCCTCTACTGGACTGTGTGTGAGTTCCTCTGGCTTCTTAGGAGTACTGGGAACGGATGAGGCTAGCTTGTGACCAGTCCTATGGAGGGTCCGGTTAGCTATGTGAGTTTTGGGTGCAGGGGACCCACGTGGCTCCTAATTACTCGGGACACTTCCAGCTGACAGCCCACGTGTGATGTTCATTTAACTTCAAATCCTGGTGTTAGGAGCTGGAGACTCTTTCTGCCTTTAGCTCCAAACCAGAGTACCCTCAATATTTCCTATAGTTCATCTCAGAACCCTCTTCCAAAGGCAGTGGAAAATGACATTTCTTGCATGAGGCTCTGAAACATACTGATCGTCTGTCCCATGGGGTGATGAGGACAAACTCGCCATACTCAGGGGAGGCCTTGTCAGGTAGCTAACAAGCAGCAAGCCATCTTACTCTGTCCACAGCTCCCTCATTTAGTACCATGCTTTTTGGAGGTGGTGCCCTGGGAATCCTGGGGTCTTCTGTGAAAAGCAGGATTCCAGTTGAGTTCTTATTACATCCTGCGCCCTACAGCAACTTTTCAAGATGTGATTGCACGCATAGTCTCCAGCCCAGAGATGAAGTTGTCAGGGGTGGGGCTAGCTTGGGGTGACAGGGCAGCGTCATCACAGCTGGCACAGGCCCTCCGCCGCGTGTATTTACAAACCTGAGGCAGCGTCGGTGCTTGGCTGGCACATATCCGGTGGCATCATCGCTGACCCAGCCTCCCCGTCACTGCCTGCCACTGTGAGGCGTGCGGGCGGCCACATCCTCACCTCTAAATTTAGTCTGCAGGAAGAACCTGGGCAAGGGAAGAGGGGAGGGAAGGGGAAGGAAGAAGGACTCCAGCCAGTGCTGACTTGTGTGCTCTTGGGAGGAAATCGGAGCTAGCATCTTGGGATAGGGGTGGGATGGGGGAGATGGATGAGAAGGGCACTGGAAAGGCTCATCCCACCTGTGGCCTCATCCACTGGGAAAACTGGAATACCCTCTCCACTCCCCCCATCTGAGACACTGTTTAGGAGGTGTTCAGGGTCCCAGGCGCCACCTTCTGGCCTTCTAGGGAAAGGCTCAGTCCAAAGTCGGAGGGTGCTGGGCATTAATGCCCAGTCATTGCGGGGAGGAGTGGGATAGGTGGGTGAGATGCCAGGAGCAGCTTCTGAGCCTGAGTATTCCTGTGAGACCTATGATGAATTGCTATTAGAGGACAGTGTCCCAGGGAAAATGAATACCCACCTCCATGGTCTGCCCTGTTGTGAGCAGAGTGGAAAGGCACTGTTCCAGGATTGCATTTATGCATAGATGGATTGCAAGGAAGGCATGTTTCTTGGTATTGAAGTAGATGAATGCATGCACAGTGAATTGCACAAATCTTTTTTGTTCTGTTTTGTTGTATTAGTACTAGAACTTGAATTGAGGGCCTCACACTCTCACTTGGCTTCTCTCTCTCTCTCTCTATCTCTCTCTTTCCCTCTCTCTCTTTCTCCCTCTCTCTCAACGTTGGTGCTTTACTATTTAGTCATAGCTCCACTTCTGGCCTTTTGCTGGTTAACTGGAAGATAAGAGTCTCATCGACTTTCCTGTCTTGGTTGCCTTAGAACTGCAATTCTCAGACCCCAGCTTCTAGAGTAGCCAAGATTACAGGCATGAGCCACCAGATCCCCACAGAATTGCACAGATCGTAAATGTACAAATTAGTAAGTGTTTATGTACATTGTCTAACCACCATTACCATCAAGATATCTATTTCCTCACTGCAGAGAGCTCCCTCCTGATCTCAGTTTCCTCCTCCCTGCATGACCTCTGACTTCATGTAAATGGAGCCATACAATCTTTGGTCTCTGACTCTTGCTCCATATCATGGCTTAGAGGTAAATTGATGCTGTTGAAAGCATTAGCAGTTTAGTTCTACTTATTGGTCAAGAATATTCCACTGCCTGAATACACTACTCATACTTTAATTTGGATCATTGCATTGTTTCTGTTTGGGAGGGGGCAGTATAGTGAATAGAACTACTAGGAATACTCTTCAGTGTGTCTATTTGGTGGAATATGGCACCATTCTCTTGGGCATGTTCTCAGGTGTGTTCTGTCACATCCTGGGAAAGTCATGCTTAGCTCTTAGGTGCAGGTGACAGGTTTCTCTTTGTCCCCCTGGCTGTTGTCCAGCAGTTTTTGTCCACCTGTATTTGTTCCCTTGCTTGAATTCTTGGGTACTGTTAAGATTTCATACCTTCTGCTACTCAGATCTCAGCAAAAGAACCAAGTCTTAAGTTGCTTGGGTTAGGGAAGGAACAGAAATGAGATCAGAGACCCCCACAGGGTGGTTCCTAGACATCTCCAAATCCTCCCGATCACTTTGGGAATGCAGAGGCAGCGTCTTCTAGCTCTGAGGCCAGAGCCAGGCACCCCTTTGGCTCTAGCATCAGCTCTCCCAGTCTGGCGTCTCTGAGCAAGCTGGCATTGTATAACTGTCAATTTCATGTCTGGCCTCTGGTGCCGTGGGTCCTCACGGTCCAGTGTTTCCTGGGCTCCTTGCTGCTTTGTGGTGAATGAGGGGCTGGGTGGCTGGGTGTGTGTGTGGTGGGGGGGACAAGCTACCCAGAATAGCAGAGGCTTGTTGGACATCAGCTTCGTGGCACTTTCTGGGGTGGGGGAGGGTGGAACTTTATCCTTTCCACCAAATTGCTACTTCATTGAGGCTGTGAAAGATCAACAGAAAGCCAGAGGAGAAGAAAAAGAGGACAAGGGACCGAAAGGAGAGTTCCAGGGAAGAGCCAGACAGGGAAGGAGAGCAGAGTCTTGAGTGGGTGTGTGCAGGTATTTTGGGGGTAGGTACAAATGTCCTGGGGTAAGAATGAGTGTTCTGTAGCTGGCATATACTGGACCCTAGCAGCCACTCAGGGCTGATGCAGTCCGGGATCAGCAACATCAAGGTCATTTTTGTCCACTGACTTTGACCTTCCTGGTCATCTTGCTAGCCACCTTTTGTCTCTATTTTGGGACGAGCTGGTGCCCAACAGGTCTGGAGGTGAGGCAGGCGGATTGCATGGGTTCCATCTTCTGCCTACTTGTGAGGACCAAAGATACATCCTTTCTCCCCTCCCTCCCCTCTTCTCTCCCTTCCTCCCTCTCTCCTTTCTTTTTGCTCCCCCTCCCACCTCCCTTTGCCTTCTTGTCTCTCCCTTCCTGCATCTTCTGGAGGGGGCTCAAGGGTGTTGGCCCTGGAGGAGGAAGGAGGAGGAGTTGTAATAAGTGTTCCCTTGGGGCAGGTGATCCATGATACCCCCCTCCCCTCACAGGTTCTTAGAAGGTGAGTGGGGACGGCATGCAAAGTTGTGAATCCAGTGTGGACAGTGCGGATGACTCTCTCAGTCGTGGCCTGCGGAGAAGGGGACAGCCTCGTGTGGTGGTGATCGGCGCTGGCTTGGCTGGCCTGGCCGCAGCCAAAGCACTTCTGGAGCAGGGCTTCACAGATGTCACTGTGCTTGAGGCTTCTAGCCACATCGGAGGCCGCGTGCAGAGCGTGAAACTTGGTGAGTGTTACCCTCGCCCAGCTACCTTCCTAGGTCACTTCTGTATGGACATTTTCTAGAAGTTTCCTTTGCCTCTTGCAGCAATCCTGTGAGCTAGTCATGTGGGATTCTGATCGTTTCCATCGAGGATGCTGGCTTGGTGGCATACTATTTAAGGGAGAAGGCATCCCCAAACCAGGTCCCTTGGCATTGTGGGCCACTGCTGTGTCACAAGAAGAGTATGTTCTTATGAGTTATTAACTTTTGAATGTGAATTAGCATATTGTGACCTAAGAGCTAGCCCTAGGGCAATAGGAACTTAAGTTCAAGAGGTAGAAAGGGATTTGGAGCCTCCTTGTGGGTCTTGGGATTGGCTGTGAAGATCCATCTATTTTAATGAAGAAAGCAGCTAGGTAAGAAACTTACACCTGGGGTGTGTAGATTGTGACAGGAGTCCTGAGGAGAGGGGTTATTGCTTGAACTGTAGCCAGAGGTCAGGGCATCCCAGTTGGTGGGGCTCTGACCAATGAGGAGTTGGGTGACTTAGAGCCAGGAAAATGACTCAGTGATCTGAGCCCTGGTGGCTCACACCTGTAATCGTAGCTACTCAGGAAGCTGTGATCTGAGGAGCAACATTCAAAGCTAGCCTCAGCAGGGAATTTAATGAGATTCTTTATTTCTAATTAGCCAGCAAAGAACTAAAAGTGGAGATGGGTATTAGGGGAACATACCTGTAATCCTAGCTACTCAGGAGGCTGAGATCTGAGGATCACAGTTTGAAGCCAGCCCAGGCAGGAAAGTCTGTGAGACTTTTACCTCCAGCTAACCATCAGAAAACTGGAGGTGGAGCTGTGTCTCAAAGTAGTAGAGTGCTAGCCTTGAGCAGAAAATCTCAGAGACAGCACCCAGGACCTGAGCTCAAACATGATGACCAGCCAAAGAAAAAGTGCTCTAAGTGGCTCAAGTAGTAGACTACTAGCCTTGAGTGAAAAAGCTAAGTAAGCTTATGTGGCCCTGAGTTTGAGCCCCACTTACACACACACACACACACACACACACACACACACACACACACACACACACAGATGACAGAGTAATACCACCCATGGAGGCCTGGAGTAGGTAACATAGATCCTCCAAGGCTCTTATATGTGCCACTTGCTCAGAGAAGTAAGTGGTCAAGGAAAGACCAGCAGACATTGAGGATACATGGGGACTCTCCATCCTCTTGAAGAAATGTTGGTTATGTTGAGTCTTCCCTTGGAGCTGAGCCTGGCACACACTCTGGAGTGTCTGCTGGCAGAGGAGAGTGAAAGTGCCATTCAAAGTGCTCTTTGCTAACACTGATTGGCTGCTTGGGAACCTCAAGGAAGAGCCATTCCATGGAGGATTTTCCAGTCTTGATGAGGTCTTCCGGTGTGATATAGAAACAGTAGACAGGAAGACAGATGGCCCTGTCAGAGGTAGCTGACTGCTGAGACATGCCATGCAGAGACATGATGGGACAAGGCTGGGGTTGAGGGTGGGAGGAGGGAGCCACGGTGAAACTCTGTGGTGCTGGGAGTTGAGTAGACACAAAGAGGGGACAGTACCTGTGGGATGATGAGGAAGATGAAGGTGGTCCCTTTCCGGAGAGGAGAGAGCTTGTCATGCTAGAGTGCATGTGCTTGTGCTGTGTGCAGATGTATGGGCCTGAAAGTCTAGCTGCAGCTAGATGGGCCACAGCATGGTATAGTAGCTAGCGAGAGCAGAGGTTGAAGGCCAGAGGCTTTGAGGATACTTGCCTGTGAGGCTGGCAGGGAGATGGTGCCTGCTACCCAGTGGATGTAGAGATACGGTGAGGGTGACAGGGGTAATGAACAGAGATGACAGGAAACAGCCTTAGATGGGGCCTTGTTCTGGGCCTCCCACTTCCTGGCAAACCTGGAGATAGAGATGGCTTTGTTCCTAACCTTGAACTGCTCACCTTGTCTCTTCCGTGTGTGTGTGTGTGTGTGTGTGTGTATGCATGTGTATGTGCACGTGTGCATGCGTGCTAGTACTGGGATTGAATTCAGGGCCTGGTTGTTGTCCCTTAGCTTTTTCACTTAAGGCTGACACTTTACCACTGACACTTCCACTGCTGGCTTTTTGCTGTTTAATTGGAAATAAGAGTCTCTCAGACTTTCCTGCCTGGGCTGGCTTTGAACTTCAATCCTCAGATCACAGCTTCCTGGGTAGCTAGGATTACAGGTATGGGCCACCAGTGGGTGCTGGCTTCTTTCTCCTTTTGTTCAGCACCTGAAGGCAGGCATTGTGTCCTGAGGCAGGAATTGTGTCCTGCGGCAGGACTTCCCAATGTGTGTGTGTCTTGGAACTCTTAACTATACTTTAGGAAGGGTTAATTTCTTTCTTTAGAATGATGATCCTCTTCTGCTCCTGTCGGAAGCTCAAAGCACCAGATACCTGGGGAAGCCCCAGACATGAAGCTCTAGATGGCTAATAATTTAATGCCACAAGTGGCCACCTACAGGTAGAAAACTAGCCTCTTAGCTTTTTGGTGCCCTTCAGTTTGCCAACTTTTCCTAGAGAAAAGAGGCCTGTACTTTTCTGCCTCTTCAAGAAAAGGAAATTCTGTCTTGCTGGCTATGGGATGCTGTTTTTGGAACATACATTCCTGCAAGGCTATTTTAAGCAACTGGCAGTTTAATTAGAAGAAACCTAAGAAAGGGAAAGCATATAAAAGAGAAGTACATGTTCAGTTCTTGGAGGGGGGGGGGAAGGAAGGAAAATACTGCTATTTGTTAGAATGTATCAGATAGCTATTGCTGCATAACAAACCAACCTTAAATGTAGCCATTTAAAATAGCTTTTTATTTGCTCAGATTATGTGGGCCAAGAGTGAGGTAGGACTCAGGTAGGTGGTTCTTTTTCTGGTCTAACTTTGGCTCTTCCAATGAGGCTGGGTTGTCTGGAGGCTTCACTGGGTTGGTAGGATGTGTAACATGGTCTCATCCTCATTTCTGGTCATGGGTATAGGCTTTTAGTGGAACATATATCTTCAGCAGGATGAGTCTTGGCCTCTTTCCCTGGCTCGTTTGTCACAAAGAAGATGAAAATGGAAGTCATAAAGTCCTCTGGGTCCTGGCTTCTGAAGTCACAAATGTCAATTTTACCACATTTTACTTGTCAGAGCTACTCACAAGTGCATCCCAGATCCAAGGACCTAGACTCTACCTTCTGATGGAACTTAATGCAAAGTCATGTTGCCAAGGGGCAAGTGTACAGGTATAGGAAGGATTATTGGGGCCATGTTGGCAAAAAATTACCACCCATATCTTGAACTAGGCCTTCAAAACCAAAATAAAGCACCAACATAAATGTTCCTCTCTCTTTTCCTTGCATTGTTCCAACATACAAGGAAGGAAATGAATATATCACAGTTCTTATAGCCATTAGCTGGGCTCTAGTGGCTCATGCCTGTATCCCTAGCTACACAGAAGGCAAAGATCTGAGGGTCATGGTTCAAAGCTACACTAGAAAGAACAGTCTGTGTAAGATTCTTATCTCCAGTTGACCACCAAAAAGCTGGAAGTGAAACTGTGGCTCAAATGGTAGAATGCTAGCCTTGAACAAAAAAAACAAAAAACCAACCCCCCCCCAAACAACCTCTCCAGGACAGCACCCAGGCCCTGAGTTCAAGCCCCAGGACCAGCACAACAATAGAAAAATAGAAGAGGCAACTGCAGCTCAGCACAGAGGCAGAGATCTGATGATACCTTAGAAGGGGATGGAGAGAGTAAAGCAATTCTCTGGCCTATCCCAGCTTGGACCCAGGAATGTTCTTCTGCCCTGGACAGACTCAGAGTTCTGCCCTTGGTATGGCAGGATCAGATGGTTTAACATTACCATGAGATCTGTTTCAACAGCTTTGGGAAGGAATCAGCCAAACAGGAAAATGCTTGCTACCCTCCTTCCCTAGATGGTTTTGGGATGGGCCATTTTCTACCTGAGAAAAGCGCTCGGATGGGAGCCATGTGGGTGTTGAGGAGTTGGAGTAAGGCCAGAGAAGACCCAGGTGCTTGGCTGGGACTGCTGTAGCCCAGGTGCCCTCCCTCTCCCCCCAACCATGCTCTTCCCAAGTGAGGAGGCAGGGGAAGGTCTCTGGTATCAAATGTTCCCTTGGAAGAAGGTGGGACTGGAAACCAAGAACCTTCTAATTGGTCCAGTATGGCGAACTCTAGGCACATCCTAAAGTCATTCTAGTTGATGCTTCTCAGTGCTTGACTGTCTTGAGCTTTTTCCTCATGATTTTGGTTAGTTTCCATAAGGGCCATCTAAGCTGGTTTCTGCCTGTAGTGGAGAGTAGGAGGATCCTGTTGGAGGAAAAAGGGAGAGGCAGTATTCTGGCTCTTTCTGAAGAAGTCCCTGCCCCTCTAAAGGGCCTGTTGTTGTCACCATCAGGACGCGCCACCTTTGAACTGGGAGCCACCTGGATCCATGGCTCCCATGGGAATCCTATATATCATCTAGCAGAAGCCAATGGCCTCTTGGAAGAGACAACCGATGGAGAACGCAGTGTGGGCCGCATCAGCCTCTACTCCAAGAATGGTGTGGTCTGTTACCTTACCAACCATGGCCACAGGATCCCCAAGGACGTGGTTGAGGAATTCAGCGATTTATACGACGAGGTGAGGGATGAGTTTGTCATGGGAAGTTTTGGGAAACCTGCCTGAGGTCCTCTAAGATTCTGGTGATGTCTGCACACTCCCAGGGCCCTGCCTTTGGAAAAACTGGACAGTTTTAGAATGAAATGAACATAATGAATGGAGAGGTATTACTAAGCAAGACATTACTGAAATCTGTGATTACATACTTTCCCCAAAATACCTAGGACATCCTTTGTTTGATTTATTACTAGGTAACTAACATAGCAATTATTATTGCTATGCTTTTTATGATTTTATGAATTATATATATATATATATATATATATATATATATATATAGTTGGTTGTGGGGCTTGAACTCAGGGCCTAGGCACTGTCCCTGAGCTCTTTTGCTTGACGCTAGTGTTCTACCATTTTGAGCCACAGCTCCACTTCTGGTTTTTGAGTGGTTAATTGGAGATAAGAGTCTCATTGGGACTTTTCTGCCTGGGCTGGCTTTGAACCTTGATCCTTGGATCTCAGCCTCCTGAGTAGCTGGAGTACACAGTTGAATAATATTTTTTTAACTTTATTTTCTAATTGTTCTGGTATATACCAATAAAACTGATTTGTATGTATTTCTTAAGTTCCTTTAGTAGATTATTTTAATTCCAATAAATCTGTTGATATGTTATTTATATCTGATAATTTTAGAGTTTTTTGTGTTTAGTTCTGTACAAAAACAATGAGTGTTTTGTCTTTTTCTTTTCTAATCCTTAGACCATCAGCATTATTCAGTAGAACATTTTTTGTTTTCAGTAATGAAGATGATTCAGACCCTCACCATCCTGTTTGGCAGTTACTAGCTATTTGTAGTTTTTAGAGCTACAAATAAGGAACTGAATAATAATTTCAAATTGCTACAAGTGTCTAGTTGTTACTATATTGGATACATAGCCTAAACTTATTTATTTTTCTTACTTTGTTCCACTGGCTAGTATCTCAGTCTAGTGTTGGAAGTAGCAATGTCATATTTCTTTCAGTTGTTTATGCTTTTTAAAAATTGTTAATATTTTTAGTATCTTTCAGTGGTGCTGTGAACTGCACTGAACAAGCAAGGTAATGTGTAGACCTTGATTTCCAATAGCCTGTCACTTGTAGTGTAATGACTCTTTACTCCAGGTCAGTGGACAGACCAGCAGGCAGCTATTATACATTTTCTAATCTCTTGCTTTCGGGCAGCCCTTGAACTATGAAAGACAGGTGTTTAGTATTTTTTGTGTGTATGTCCTCACAAGGTATGTTGCGTACAGTTCCATGATATTGTGTGTTTCAACTCATGGGTGAAGAGGTAGAATTATTAGTGATCAGATAGGAATTAGTATTCTTTTTTTTTCAGTCATGAGGCTTGAACTCTGGGCTTGGGCGCTGTCCCTGTGCTCTTTAGCTCAAGGTGAGCGCTCTACTGCTTGAGCACACAGTGCCACTTCCTGGAACTAGTATTCTTTAAAGCAGACCTTCCTGGTCTATACCCTGACTCCCAAGCTATTTTGAGTGCTTTACGAATGGGTGCTTCTTGAGAATGACTCTAAAGGTCCATGTCTTATTCTTTAAAGTTTCTTAAAAGTAGATCCATCATCCATTTCTGCTGGTTAGTTTGATTTTTGAAAGCCAAGCAGGACAGATAAGGTGGTGATGCTTTGGGACTGAAAGAGGAGGAGTTAGCTTGAAGTCAGGATTTCCTTCTTGTTAGGATTTCTCTTAACCAATGCTGGAAATCACGTATGAGTCCATTCAAGAGCAGTGTCATAATAAATGTGTAGCCTCCAAAGATAATGGCTTTGAAGAGCCATTTGTATGAATATATTGTGTGTGTGTGTGTGTGTGTGTGTGTGTGTGTGTGTAGTTTCATTTTCTGCCCCGCTTTCTGTAAGTCACACTAAGAAGATGTCATTTCCCCTAGGGGAGGAGACTGTACCATATAACAAATCTATATTCAGTTAAGGCTGTCTGAGTCAGCCATGACTGCATTTATTATTCCTTAGCTGAGAGTTTTGGCCTCCAGTCCACATGAGCTTAGGACTGGCTACCATGTTGCTTTTCACTGTAGAGCAAAAGCTAGGGAGGAGGAGGAGATGGGTGGAGAGCCTGATTGCTTGGCCATGGTCCTGTGCCTGAGGAATTTGCTGAGGACTTCAGTTAAGGCCAAACATCTAACATCTCGTGACTGTAAGGAGGACAAACGAACAATTTAAACCATTTTCTTCCATATAATTTAGACTGCAGAGGCATGCTTAATTTATGCTTCCATCTTAGATGCAGGCCTTTCCCTGGAGTGGAACAGTGGAGGTGGGGAGGGGTGACATCAGCAGGCTTAGACTTTCCTGTACTGTGCGACCATAGAAGCTATCCTGGGGCCACAGTCTAGCACACAACGTTCTTCCCATGAACATGTGATGGTCAAATCTAAATTCATGTTAAGAAGGAAGACATATCATCTCTGTCATAGATCATTGGCCATGAATTCTTAGTTTTTTACTATCTTGAGAATGGCAGCATCTCTGTGTTGTGTGTGTGTGTGTGAGAGAGAGAGAGAGAGAGAGAGAGAGAAAGAGAGAGAGAGAGAGAGAGAGAGAGAGAGAGAGGCATGCCACCTTCCTGCTTCTAACCTTTCTGGGAAGCCAGGGCCTTGGATAAAGTCTAGAGTCCCTGATACGACTTAGTCCTTTTTGCCCCCAGCCTCTGCCTGCTTTTCTAGAGTCATTCTTTACAACTTTCTCCTTGTTACCTCCAATAACAAGACTAAGTCACTTCTAGTTTCCTGAATTCATCTCTGCCTGTTTCTGTCTCTGTGTCTCTTTCTCTCTCATATTTTTGACTATGCTGTTTCCTGAAACATATATATATATAAAATCTACCTCTCTCATTGTCTCCTGACTGCTCAGCTATCCAAGGTTGTTTGGGTTGATCTCACAGCCCTGGGTTCTTTCCATTATAGCCTGTGCTGTAGAAACAGCTGTCATGGAGTGTCTCCTCACTTTGCATATAGTCAGGGACTAGGAACTCTGTCTTTCATGCTCACCATTATAACCTGTTCCAGGAGGGAATCACCACGAAAAATGCATGTTGTGTGAATACTGAGGTCTACACCAGGAGTGAGACACATGTCCAGTGTTTGGCTGGGTTATATACCAGACAGGAAGACGAAACAGAATGAACCAATTACTACTATTTGTTGTCTTTTCTTTCTTTGGTACTGGGGATTGAACCCAGGATATGCACTTGCTAGGCAAACACTTTGCCACTGAGCTACATCCCAGCCCAATTACCATTATTAGTAGATGGGGTGGGGGTTGGAGCTCTGGCTGAAATGAGCCTGCAGACTGCTTTCCACTTCTTGGCCTACTGCAGTCTCTTCCAGCTGGTCCCTTCTGTGTTTTCCCCGCCCCCCCTTCCACAACCCCTCCTTCTTACCTGAATCTGAGGCCTGAAATGAAGGGGCGCTTTGTGTGAAGCTGAGCAGGGAAGGTGTCTATAAAGAGTCAGATCTCAGGGCTTCTTTGCTTCTTCTTCCCCCAAACACTAGCCAGGCTGTAGCTGCAGACTCCCCTTTTGGGGGAGAGTAGAGCAGAGCAGACAGCTCTGGGCAGGGGACAGAGGAGCAGGGGGAAGAGGGGAATGGTTGTACACATTGTTTTGGGGAAAGGTGGCTGTGGTCTGTTCTGGTGGGACACAGCGCTCTTGTCAAGCTGTGCACAGCTCAGGTTCGGGCACCAGGTGTCTGCTCTAAGCAAGGGCCCAGGATGAGAGCCTTGAGCCCTTCTTGCTTTCCTTGCTGGTGCCAATGTGTGAGAGCTGGCTCCCCAGCTCAAGGGCTCAGAACATCCAGGAGCTATCTGGGAACTTGTGACTTTTGAGGTGGGTGGGCGGGATGAAGTATTGTGTTTTTAGTCTCCTGAGGTCTCTCTGGCAGGTCTATAACTTGACCCAGGAATTCTTCCGGCATGGTAAACCAGTCAATGCTGAGAGTGAGAATAGCGTGGGAGTGTTCACTCGGGAAGAGGTGCGAAATCGAATCAGGGATGACCCTGATGATCCGGAGGCTACCAAGCGCCTGAAACTCGCCATGATCCAGCAGTACCTGAAGGTATCTTCTTTGTTGAGGACAGCGAGAAGAAAACGGATACTGGTGTGTGTGTGTGTGTATATATGTGTGTATGTGTGTGTGCACGCGTGCGTGTGTGTGTAGGGGGAGGAAGTGGGGGGTAATGGGAGTCTGGGGCTGGCTCTTCAGAGGTCTCATTCCTTGCCTGTCCTTGTCCCTGGCATCAGCTGACTTGTCCCCCGGTCCTCCCCACAGGTGGAGAGCTGCGAGAGTAGCTCACACAGCATAGACGAGGTGTCCCTGAGCGCCTTCGGGGAGTGGACAGAGATTCCGGGCGCCCACCACATCATCCCCTCGGGCTTCATGCGGGTGGTGGAGCTGCTGGCGGAGGGCATCCCCGCCAACGTCATCCAGCTGGGCAAGCCGGTCCGGTGCATCCACTGGGACCAGGCCTCAGCCCATCCCCGGGGCCCTGAGATTGAGCCCCGCCGGAAGGGTGACCACAATCACTACAGTGGGGAGGGCGGCCAGCGCGGAGAGGGCCCCCAGGGGGAGGGGTGGGGCGACGAGGAGCCGTGGCCGGTGGCGGTGGAGTGTGAGGACTGCGAGGTGATCCCTGCGGACCATGTGATCGTGACGGTGTCCCTGGGCGTCCTCAAGAGGCAGTACACCAGCCTGTTCCAGCCCAGCCTGCCCACAGAGAAGGTGGCTGCCATCCATCGCCTGGGCATCGGCACCACCGACAAGATCTTCCTTGAGTTCGAGGAACCTTTCTGGGGTCCCGAATGCAACAGCTTACAGTTCGTGTGGGAGGACGAGGCGGAGAGCCGCACCCTCACCTACCCACCTGAGCTCTGGTACCGCAAGATCTGCGGATTCGATGTCCTGTACCCGCCCGAGCGCTACGGCCACGTGCTGAGTGGCTGGATCTGCGGGGAGGAGGCCCTGGTCATGGAGAAGTGTGACGACGAGGCGGTGGCCGAGATCTGTACGGAGATGCTTCGTCAGTTCACAGGTGTGTCCTGTGCCGGGGCCCCTGTCTCACCCCCGGGGTGGGGGTGGTACTTCCCCCTCTCTGCAGACTGACCTGGAAAGGGCTGTGCCCAGCGGGAGAGCCACTGCAGGGCCCCCTGCTCGGCCTCTGGCTCCTAAAGTGCAGAGAGCTGCTCCTAGTTAGAAGCTTGAAATACTGCGCACGCTGGGCTCCAGGTCTCGATTCCTGTTTTAAAGACGGATGGTAAAAACAAAGAAACAACCCTAAAAACAAAGCAAAACAAACACCTAGGTATCACCACCAGTTGTCAAACTGCCTTGATAAAGAGATGGATAGTGTGTGTGTGTGTGTGTGTGTGCGTGTGTGTGTCAGGACTGGGGCTTAAACTCAGGGCCTGGGTGCTGTCCCCTAGCTTTTTGTCCCTTCAAGGCTGGCACTCTACCCCTTGAGTCAAACCTCCAATAATGTCTTTTTGGTGGTTCCTCAGAGATGCATCTCATGGACTTTTCTGCCCAGTCTGGCTTTCAAGCTGGGATTCTCAGATCTCAGGCCCCTGTGTAGCTGGGACTGTGTTTTCCATCCACTCTTCAGCTTTACAAGGCCTGGTGACTTTAGAAGGGGAAACATTTATCTGTAATTTTTTTCCCCCCAGTGTTGAGGATTACATCCCAGGTTCCACATGTGCTAGGCAAGCATTCTGACATGGAGCTACTGTGTAATTATTTTTAAGATAAGAAAATTAAGGCCTTGAGAGAATAAGTTGTTTTGCAGGGGATTACCAAGCAAATGAGTGGGTACACAGCCTGAGCCCCTGACTCTCCCTCCCCCTTCATCTTCCATGTCTACCCCTGGCGTGTTGGTCTTGGGGCCCATTCTGGAATGTCTGTAGCTGTTCTTATTTTTCATCCTCATGGATTCTTTTTTTTATTTTCTAACAGTATTGGGGTTTGGACTCAAGGCCTTATACTTGTTTAGCAGATGCTATAACATTTGAGCTGTCTCTAGCCATTGTTATTTAGTTATCTTTCAGATAGAGTCTCTCTCTCTCTCCCCCGGCCCTTCTTTCTTCCCTGGGATAGCTTCAGACTGAGATTCTCATGTGGCCTTCTGTATGACTACAATAACCACCCCCCCAACTATCTTATTTAGTTAATAATGATAAGGGGGTCTCACCAACTTTTTCCCCCTGGCCAGCCTTGAACTGCAGTCTTTCTGATCACCACCTCCCAAATAGCTGGGATTACCTTTAGCACTTCTGATTCCCCAACAGGGAACCCCAATATTCCAAAACCTCGGCGAATCCTGCGCTCAGCCTGGGGCAGCAACCCCTATTTCCGAGGTTCTTATTCATACACGCAGGTGGGCTCAAGTGGGGCTGATGTGGAGAAGCTGGCCAAGCCCTTGCCCTACACAGAGAGCTCCAAGACAGCGGTGAGTGGGGGTGCTCAGTGAGGGGGGGCCTGGAAGGGCTCTGTGAGTATTTTAAGTGTCACTGCTCCAGGGTGAGGAGAAGGGCCATGTTCAGTCAGAGGTGCTGAAGTGACAGCTATGGAGTAGCATTTCTCATGGAAGGGAAAACAAGATGAGCACTTAACAACTGGAAGGAAAAAGTGTATTCACATAGGAACTTTCAGTATCTTCTTGGGATTATGCAAACTGAACCATTCCAGGCCGTGCTGGCCAGTATGGTAGCATTTAATTCTCATTAATTGCTTCATTGGAATTTAAATTACTCTATTAAAATTGAATTCCTTAGTTGCACTAGTTACAATTTAAGGGTCTTGTGGCAGATGACTACTGGAGTAAGCTGTAGAGCATTTCTAGTGTACTGGAATGTTCTGTGGAGCAGCATGGATCCGATGGACATCTTTTCCCAGTGTGCTTTAGAAAATGAAATTGAGAGTATTGCTCTTTCCAAAATTAGGTCCACTGTATACTAAAAAATGAATAAGCCTGAGAGCAAGATGTGTTTTTGCTCCTATAAAGTAGATTTTGAGTTTCTCCTACCAATCATACACATAGAGTATATGTCAGAAGCCCAACAAGATTGTGTTTGAAGCAATTCTTTGAAGTAATTCACAAAAGAAGTCAGTCTATGACTGTGCTCAGAGGGAGAAAGAAACTATCAGAGAAGTCCTTACTGATGGCACACCCATCTTCCCCCAAAAGCAAACTTCTTGTTACTAGTCCTTCCTGAGAACAAACACATGTAACAAACAGCAAAGCAAACCAAAACAGCTGTAGTTTAAACATGATAGCATTTATTTCCATCAAGGGAAAGGAAATGTGGTGCCAGGATCTGGTATCATTAGCACCTGGCTTCCATCTTTAAGGATTACTTTGTGGTCCAAGAGAGCAGGAGAGGCTCTGTCTCTTCCATCTTCATCTTAGGCTAGAAGGAGGAAGAAAAGCAGATGGGAAAAACAAGGGAAGCCTTGGAGCTGAGACACTGGTCTCTTAAGCAACAGTGCCTTTGAAACTCATTGGCCACAGCTTAGTCACGTGATCACACCTTGTTGATGGAAAGTCAACATCATTTTTTTTTTAAATGACATTGAACCCAGTTAAAAACCAGAGCTTTCTTACTGAGAAGTAAAAGTAGAGAAGGTAAGTGTGAGAGTAGGCAGCTTAGGCTCTGTCACATACACCTCCCTTCTGTTTAATAACCTCTGTGAGTTTCTTGTTGGTGGGGATACAGCCCCACCCAGGATGCTTTTTGGAAGTACAAAGGCCTAGGCCACCTTGGACTTGGATTAGAAATTCTTCATTCCATTAGGAATGTCTTGACACATGCATTTCAAAGGCAAGGAGATAAAGTCCACATGCAAGCCTGAAATGCAAGAACTTGTACTGTGCCTGCACCTTACATACACAGTGTGCTTTCTTGAGGTTGATCCCTGGCTATACTAAAACTGACACTTTCCCCACTGTGGTCTATTTTGGCCCCTACCTTTCCTTCTGTCTGAATATTCTTTTACCCAACAGCTTCTGAAAACCTGCCTGAAGTCTTGTCCTCTGGGAAGCTTGTGGGATCCCCAGACACTGTGCCTTTACTAGGTGTTTAGCACCTTGCTCAAACACCAATCACATCACATATGGCATTGTTTAGTAACTGGGTTTCATGTCTGGCTTTCCCACCAGCATGGAAACTCCACAAAGCAGCAGCCTGGTCACCTTTTATCATCCAAGTGCCCAGAACAGTCCTTGGAACCTAGTAGAGGCTCCATAAAGGTTTGTTAATTTACCACCTAACTCTCTTGAGTGCCAATGTTCTTCCAGATTCTGAGTGCCTGGACATGATTTCACTTAGTCCTTATAACCATCCTTGAATTAGGTGATATAAACTCATTTGGCAAATGGAGAAAATCAAGACTTAGGGACATTAGCCACTGGCCCTGAATTTACTCTTATGAGACATACCTGTGACAGAATCAGGGCTTCGAACAGCTGAAGGCCTGGAAGAAGCAGGGGAATGTGACCAGATGGGATGGCTAACTCCTCATCCTATGGAAGCAGCAATACCTGTACCTCGGCTCCTATCTGACTTGCAGTATAGAGAGAGGGGTAGCGAGGGAGTTCTTTGCCCTCTGATATTCGCCCAGACTCACCTCTCCCTCCACTGCCCAGCCCATGCAGGTGCTGTTTTCTGGTGAGGCCACCCACCGCAAGTACTACTCCACCACCCATGGTGCTCTGCTCTCTGGCCAGCGTGAGGCTGCACGTCTCATCGAGATGTATCGAGACCTCTTCCAGCAAGGTCCCTGAGGGCTGTCCTTACTGCCATCATGTTCCTTAAAGAACCACTAACTCGTGACTGCCAGCCCTGTCCCTTACTCCTGTGTGCTCCTAATTACCGGTAGAATGTTTTTTAAAAATCTTATCTTCTATAGAGCTAGACACCTGGCTGGTTTCAGATTGGGCCCTGTAGCATTTCCTTTCCTCTGGGCCAGGTGGTGACCAGGTAGAACCATGTGATTGACCTCTGTGCTGGGACACTGACCTTCTGCCCCTCCCTCCTCCTCCCTTGTTATTGCAAGTGCCTTCAATACTTTACATTTTGGGGTAATAAAAGAGGTGATTTTTTTTCTGTCTCCCCTGGTTCTCCTCAGATTGTGTGTGTGTGTGTGTGTGTTTAATCATATATCTGGAGTATGGATGTGTGGATTCCAGAAGGCAAGGCATCTTTGTTTACTAAAGAGGATATCCCCTTACCCACCTTCCCTGTCCAGTGCCTGCTCCTTCAGGATGGGCCCGGGCTCTCACTGGCCCTCTCAGGGCTTGACTGGATGCTGGATAACAAGCTGTGTGGAGTGAAGCTGGCTTCCATGGCAGCAGTGGCAGTGAGCTGTGGTTCCATGCCAGGCTCAGGTATGGGCATTCAGAAGCTGAGATGGTAGGTAGGCTGGCCTTTTTTTTTTCACCAGGACAATATCCAAGTAGGCCTACGTGTACATACATCATATACACGTGTGTGCATGTATATGCATGCTTGCACACACAGGGCCTTCAAGAATATGTAGTCATTTCCTTTTCTTTTCTCTTTTTTTTCCTTTTGCCAGTCCTGAGCTTTGAGCTCTGGGCCTGTGCAATGTCCCTAAGCTCCTTTTGCTCAAGGCTAGCACACTAACACTTGAGCCACAGCACCACTTCCAGCCTTTTCTGTGATTAATTGGAGATAAGAGTCACACAGACTTTCCTGTCCAGGCTGGCTTCAAACCTCAATCCTTAGATCTCAAGTCTCCTGAGTAACTAGGATTACAGGTGTGACCCACTGATGCCCTGCTTGTAGTCATTTTCTTACTCTAGATTTGAGTTCTGTAGAGTTCCAAGGGCTGGTGTGATGGGCAGTTGTGAAAGGCCAGGTGGATCCCTCTTTCCTGAGTCCATGGGCATTCAGCTCTGGCCCCCTCCTCAGACATTTAGGACATGGCCCTAGATAAGCCTGCAGTCCTCTTTTCCTCACCCAGATTGTAGTGGAGTGGTCTAGTACGCACCTACACACTCCTGGATGCACTTCTGAATGCCGTCTTGCTGCAGCCCCAAAGCTTTATAAGGATCCACCAAAGCATCTCCTCCAGGGGCTGTTTCCCCCCGCCACCGTTGCCTCTCTCATAGCGCCTTGCTATTAGTCTCTTAAGTATCTAATCCTAAATAGTCCAATCTAAAGACATTCTCTTGTATATATGAAGTACCAATCTATTCATTCTGTTCTACACTGTGCTTAAGAAACAACAAACCAACAACCTAGCAGTAGGAGTTGGCCATCTTTCCATAACAGCACATAAACAATGTAATTGTGGGCCTTGCAGGTAAATGTGGTCAAAACAGGTCATACTCATCTCTTCCCAGCCCAGAAGTGCTTTGTGGGAAGCTCTGTTACTTTCTATTAACTTTGCCTTGGGAGATGCTGGTCCACCTGTGGCCCTCCCTAGTTCCTGAATTCTCCTATCAACTGCACTGGGACAGACACTAGGAAAAGGACAGCCAGGTTATTAGGGTCACACGCAAAGGAATTATAAAGGGTTCCCCTGGAGGTGAGAGGGCTGAAATGTTTCTTTGGTGACTGCATGTTGGGGAGGGGCCCCCAGTTTGGGTAAGAGGGAGGGAGAGAGTTTTTATATAGTGTCAGTCACCTTCTGGCCCACAAATGCTGGGCTCATGGTCTCCTGACTTGGCCTAGAGGTGGGGTCTGGCTGGCAAGAGCAATGTATCCCTTTGGGTCAGTGAAGCCTTAGAACAGTAAATTATTGTGTTCAAGGTTGCTTAGGGGGATGGTGATGTGGAGATGTTCACCGAGCTCCTCCTGACTGTAACACAGGCTTATTCTGTTATGCTATTCTTGATGAGAAAGAAGCTGGAGCCACCGAAACAACAAGTCTGAGGCTGTTGGATGTGGTGGGCAAGTACACCACTGGTGGCAGGTTCTATGGGCACATTTCCACTCCTGAGTGCAGCTAGATGCTCACCAAAACTATGTACCAAAATACAGCAATAGCTGGAGTAATAGCTGGAAACTAGAATCAGCTCAGCTGTGGTCCAATAAAATGAACAGCTATTTGCCACAACATAGATCAATCTCCAAAGTACTGCTGAATGAAAGAAGCCAGTTGCAAGGCTATATACTTAGTCTGATTTATATGACTTGTTTAGACTATGATGTTAGCAGTAAGGACCTGGGTCATCATTAGTGGGAGTTGGTGCATTTATGCATTGGTCAAACACGTGAAGTTGGTACATTTCTGCACTGGTAAAAATACATCGAGCTAGGGCATCAGTAAAGGAAGTCAGTGAATTTATGCATTGGTCAAAACACATCAAGTTGGTGCATTTATGCATTCATAAATATGCATCAAGCTGATATAGCAGTGGTACTCGCTAGACACTATGTTGAAAATGAACTATGCAACTTGTGGGCGGGAATGGGAAGGAAAAACTAGAAGAGAGTGAGGGAAGGGGTGACGTCCAAAAACGAATTGTACTCCTTACTTGATCTATGTGACTACAACCTCTCTGTATATCCCCTTTATAAAAAACAGGAAGCAATTTTAAATTAAAGAATACATCAAGGTAGAACATCATGAATGGGAATCGGTGCATTTACATGTTGTTAAAATGAGTCAAGTCATACACTGAAGATTTATGCATTTCCCTGTACGTGTGACATAGCCTCTGAAGATATCCTCTCCCTCCCAACTCAAAACATGGCTGTATTGGCCCAGCTCATTTCTTTGCAGCTGAAACAATGTATCCAGAAAACAGGTAGGTAAAGAAGGTATGACCACCCCATGGGCTTCCACGCAATTTTGTGTTAAGTTGAATTCATAGAGGATCTCACAGTTTATCCGATCCTGTGTCACCACATCTGCTGTGTGTGGGTTGGAAGAGTGTCTTGCAGCACAGGAAACTGGGTTCCCAGAAAGACATGAATGGCGTTGTGCAGGGCCACACAGCTTAGGGAACATGTTCTCCCAGGGATGGGAACAGACCTGGAAGATAGCCAGGGGAGACCCTCAGGAGACACAGGGTAGAGGGATGGACATGGGAGGGGGTGACCCTGGAGAGTTTGCTGAAGAACCCAGCCTTCATGCATGCCACCTCCATATCAAATCAATAATTCCAGCTTTTAGGAGCTTGAGGCAGGATTGTGTTTGAGGCCAGCCTGAGCTACATAGTGAGACCTTGTCTTAAAAAATAATTGTAGCTAGGAGCCGGTGGCTCATGCTTGTAATCCTAGCTACTCAAGAGGCTGAGATTTGAGGATCGCAGTTGGAAGCCAGCCCAAGCAGCAAAGTCTCTTCAATTCACCACCAGAAAACCAGAAGTGGCACTGTGGCTCAAGAGGTAGAGCGCTCACCTTAAGCAACAGCACCCAGGTCCAGAGTTCAAGCCCCACGACGGAAAAAAACCCAGAAAAAACCCAGTTGTATAACATGGGCAGCAATCCAAAAAGTAGATTTTTGAGGAGATTAAAAAGAAAGATCAAGAGCCCCTCAGAAGTGAGAAGCTTCTTTTACCAAGAACCCAGGGGCAAAGGAAGCAAAGGGGGCACTGACTGACACCCAAAGGACTGGCAATTGCAGGATGCCCAGGCCAACACCCATGCCAGAGCTGCCAGGTGATTCCTGTTGTCTGGTACAAGTTCATTTGGGGAGAAAAGCTCTTTCTTATGCTGATCCTGCGCAGACTTGGTTGTGTGGTTTCTTGTGCATTGGCATTGAAACCCAATTCTGTTGTGGCTTCATGGAAGCCTCCTTTACATTCCCTCAGAGAGCCTAAGCACTTCGCAAGCACAGTCTCTGCCTTTGATGCCATGATGGACAGGTGAGCAGTATTTTTCCTTCTACTTCACAGGAATTGCCTGAGCGTCTGCCCCTCCCACAAGCAAGTGGTGGTGATCTGTTCACTTAGTGGTGGATGGGAAGTCTAGAGAGACAGGAAAGGGCTAGGGTACCAATATTCCTTCCAAGGACATGCCCCAGGGACTTAAATACCTCTGTGAGGCTCTACCTCTCAAAAGTTCCACCTTTCAAAGGTTCTGCCATCTCTCTATAGTGCCACAGGGGGCCAGGTTTTTTTAACACATGGACTTTTTAGGGTCATTCTGGTTCCAAACAACAACAGCCACTGTGAATCTGCTTGGGCTTGTTGGGATGTACTCAAGGATATAACCCTGATGTGCAAAGTGGGGGTTGGTTGCTGGCTCTGTTCTTGAAAATTGCCTGTCTAATTAATGGTCTGCCCAATTTAATGGTAGAGTTTGGGGAAGCTAGGTTTTTCTTATAATTGCTGGCTGGGCCATTTGTTGAAGCTATGCCTGCGTGGTACAGGGCAATTAGGCCATCAACACATAAGAAAAGTTGTTGGACATCTCTTAAGAGTTGTTGGACATATTTAATACAGGACAAGAAGGAGTGGATCACTGCTGTTTCATGCTAATTAACTGGAGATTGATGGATACAAAAGCCATCCTCTCTTCCCATAATTCTAGGGAGTGTTTTTTGCTACTGCTTTGGCAGGATTGTTCAAACTCTGGACCTCCCTTAGGAAATTAAAAGACCTTTTATTTCTGTCAACTCAGTAGGTACAATGTTGATCTGTTAGGTTTAATTTTTCCTTTACACTTCACCTATCAACTGGTTAGATCTGCTCCGTCCCCTTCCATCCATGGGACACATGGTCATCTATTCACCCCAGTGACACCAGGGTACTTTAAGTCTTATTCTTTGAGAACAACTTAGGGTCCTTCCCAGTTCCACAGGCCAAATGGTCTGTGTTAGACTTCTCTCCTTATCAGTCCTGTTAATAAAATAATATAATAATTATTTCTGGTACAGGGCCTCATGCTCTTGCTGAGCTATATAAATTGAGACTGGCACTCTACCATCTGAGCCATACCTACCTCCACCTTTTGCTTTTTGGTGACTATTTGGAAGAAGAGTCTCATGGATTTGTTTACCTGGGCTGGGTTTGAACCTTGATCCTCAGATCTTAGCTTCCTGAGTAGCTAGGATTACAGGTGTAAGCCACTGGCACCCAGTTCAGTCTTGAGTAATTATAATTGGTTCCAG